CTTTCACGGTCGTGTGATGCTCTCCCTTCAGGACCGGAAGTGAGGCCGTGAACAAGTCATGGAAGGACCATTGCTCACTCCTTAACCTGCCAACCAATCGCTGAAGGGGCACCTTCCGTATGCATGTGCGCAGAGCTCAATACCCTCCCCCTGCCCATCACTTTTCCATTGTCGCTCCTCATCCCCTCAGAGCAAGGATTTAGACCTCCAATTGATGATCACCAACTACACACTCCCGGCCCTGGCCGCTGGTCTTCGGGACAGGGAAGAAACGTTGCAGTTCTGCGCGCGACTATTGGAGGACGGCAACCTGGAGCAATTAAAGCGGGTCCTCCACCCCTACCAAGCTGAACTCATCACCCGCCGTCGCCGGAAAACCCGCAGCTTGGATTTGGCAGGGGGGCTGACGTCGAAGCACCTGAACATGTTGCGGAAATACTTGCAGCGATCCCCGCGCCAGCTGACCCGCGCGGTCTCCCTGCGCGCGTCGGTGGTGATTCCACTCTGCAATGTGAACGGGGTGGCCTCCGTGCTCTTCGAACGCCGCTCTCCCTTCGTCCGCTCCTTCAAGAGCCAAGTGTGTTTCCCAGGGGGGATGGTGGAAGAGTCCTTGGACGTGAACATCATCGAAACATCCCTTCGAGAGATGGAGGAAGAGATCGGGTTCCCCGCCCGGTCGGTGGACGTGCTGGGCGTCTTGCGCTGTGACTGGTCCGAGGTGCACAAGATCACGGGCATAGGGGTCACGCCCGTGGTAGGCTTTCTCGGTGATCTGACGGAGAAGGAGCTGTCTCCAAACCCCAAGGAGGTCGCGGAGTGTTTCACGATTCCTCTGGCCACGCTCCTGGACGTGGAGCACTGGAACCGAGAAGAGGAGAAAGGCACTGTGGTCTTTGTAGGAGGGCCCCACGTGATCTGGGGGCTGACCGCCCACTTGCTGGATATTTTTTTGAAGGACATTTTGATGCGGTACAAAGTGCAAGTGCAATAGCAGGACTGAAGCATTGGCGTTGTAGAGGGCTTCGTTGGAAGACCGCGAAAATAGCGACGACCGGTGGCTTTGTGATAGATAATATGAATTATCACAACGAAATAAAGGGATTGCGAGACATGTAAGATGTTAATGCATAAAATTGACCTGCTGTTGTGGGAGGGCTCGTGTGTGTCATTGGTTCGACCCCCGGATCGGCCTGGGGCATCACATGGTAGCACATCCAGTAGTGTGAATTCCTTCACTGTTCGAGACGGCAGGTCCTCTGGGCTTCTAGGAAAGGGCCTGTGCCCATTTAAGGGGTACAACGTTGAGCAAAGAGGGATGGAATGAAATTGTCTGTAACGCTGGTTCTGTGGTATCGCATGAATAATACATTTTCGAATCAGAAAATTTCCCCTCAAAAGTACAAAACCCAATGGGCAATTGAAGCCATCTATAATTCCACTGCAAGTTTTCGCTCCAACCCCAAGCATTCCTAGAAGCGACTAATGTCTCGACCAAAGACACGGGTCCTCAGCCAGTCGTTCAGCACCAAGACTCGGTTTCGCGTCGAAACCTGCTTGACAAGATAAACACTGCGCCACAAGAGGTTGCCAGCCCTGGCCGTATATTCTCCGAATTTGAGGTTCCCCGTCTGGACTTGAGCCAGAGCATTGGCTTGGCCCACGTAAGCCAACAAGCCCAGGTTCAAGAAGGAGAAGGCCTGCGCCTCCAAGCGCCCGCGAAGACGGAGCACGTTGGCGACTTTGCCAAAAGCGTTCACTTTTTCCAGATCAAACGTCGGGTTAGGTGTGCTCAAGTCGTACTCACGGTTGAGCAAGCGGCCGAGAAACGCACCGTGCTGTGCAGCTACTTGTCCCGTGGCTGGCAAAGGCAGGCCCTCCACCTCGACCGCGTCTCCCAGGGCCAAGATGCTTCCATTCGTACCTTGCACGCGCAGCCACCTGTCCACAGAGAGTCGACCTCGTTGGCCTGCCGTGGAGGCACTTTGCTCTGGGATCGCTGCGATCAAGGATTTGGTGATATCGCGGGGGGCCGTACCCGCAGCCCACACACAGAGACCGTAGGGCAATATCTCGCCTCCGTCGAGCTCGATGTGCTTCTCCTCGACTTTCAGGACCTTGCGATTCAGCATGACCTCGATACCCTGCGCCTTCAACACCTCTAGCCCTTGTTCTTGCAGTGCAGCGTCGAAGACAGGGAGGATGCGGGAACCGGCTTGAATAATTTTGAAGGACACAAGGTCGACCAAGGCGGGATAGTACTGTTGAAAAAGGCAAGTGGAGGATATTGCACCTCCGTTAGGCGCTTGTTTTTTCCCAGTTGACACCATGCCGTAAAGATACCCCTCACTTTTTATTTTAGTTTGTTTTACCCACCTTGGCCAAGTCTCTGTTAAGAAAATCGGAGAACTCGCCCGAAAATTCGACACCAGTAGGGCCCCCCCCCACCACGACGAAACTCAAGATCCGCTTTTTCTCCTCCATGGACACGCTTGGCATGTTGGCTCGTTCAAAGCGATCCACCAGGGCTTGGCGTAGTTTGACCGCATCGCTGATTTCTTTCAGGAAGAAAGCATGCTCCCGCACGCCCGGAGTGCCAAACGTGCCGCTCTGAGCCCCGCACCCGTACACCAGGATATCATAAGGCGCCAAAAATTCCTCGTATTCCCCGACTTCGTTCGGAATTTCAGAGCGGATGCGCACCGTTTGATTGTTGGGATATATGGCCAGGGCTGTGGGGATGAGAGGGGGGCATGGGATACGCCCAGAGGGGGAGGAGTGTGTGACGATCGCGTTTTACGAGAAGGGCGGATTCGACAAAGCTTGGAAAAAGTGCATGTGAGAAGGAAAGTGGATGGCGCGCATTTGAAAGGGAAAGGAAAATACATGGATAAAAGACACCTCCCTCGAAAAACCACCGAGGCTGCAGTGACTCCGACGCGCGGCACTTCTCTTCTGGCCATCAAGCGACAGGCAACACTAGCACAGAAATCCCAAGCCACAAGGCCTTTCCCCTACCTTGTGCTTCGTAGTAGTCTGCAAGAGGGTTGGCTGCTCGAATGGGCTCGATGATAGACCGATAATCGACAGTACCGACCGAGCTGCCGGCGAGCATGGGAGTGAACAAGAAGAAGTTTCGCGGCGAGACGATCACCACCTCGTACAACCCCGTATCCACCACCTTGGTCACAGCATGCCCCCCCCATCCAGTGCCCAAGATCATCACCCGCTTCTTGGTGCCAGCCTTCGTGGTCAGGCGATCTCGGCGAAAGCGCCGGTCCATGTCTCTTTCCGTTGCCCGGCGCAAGTGGACACCGATGTCCTCTACGGTGTCGAGCGTGCGATCGAACAAAAGGAATAGATCACTGAATACCAGAGACCAAAATGGCGGCTCCTCTGAGGGGGCAGGGGCCGCTTGCAAAGGGGCGACAAGATGTCTCACTTGCGCGGTTGAAGGTAAACTGCCCCGGTTGGCGTGACCCAAAGTCCGCACTGGCAAAAAAGCATGGGTCTTCAATACCGTCACAATAGTCAGACATAATAATAACAAATTCTTACGATGTTGTCCAAATGCGGCCGTGTAAGCGGCACCAAAAACAGAGGCTGTCATATTTAGAAGGTCCTCTTACCCTGCCGATCGAAGTGTTCTTGTTCGTGTCCCTGTGAGGCAAAAGTCAGATCAATGAGTGCACACGACGACAAGCCGTAGTTTTGCATTCATCACGTGGCAAAACCACGTTACCGTCCCGGCGGACTCGCGAGCAGGCGTTGAAAAGAAAAGCGAGGGGACATAAAAGCAGGAGGAACCCCCCTGTCGAACCTCGTGCTGCCGCCGCACCGCGAACATCAGGCGGCGATGACGTCGCGGCGCCCCAAGTGGCAGTATTTTTTTCGTCCCATCCTTCGTAAAAACATGCTTTTTTATACGAAGTGGTTCAAAGTAGATCATAAATTTGAGGTCGACACCTGGTGTGGCTTTTGCGCGTGATGAACGGAATATTCGTCCGCTTTAAATTAAGTGGGACATGCCCTTCGATCCGTTCCATATGTTTCCCGTTCTTGCCTCTTTCCCTCCCTCATACAGATCATACAACAACATCACAACCCATGATTCTGGCCAACGCAGCTTTACGGCAATCCTCGTTCGCCCTCTCTAGGTCGTCGCCTGTCCGTAGTCGATTGATCATACCTTTTCGAGGCCTTGCAAAAGGTTCTCCTACGCAGGTCGCTGCAGAGGAGACACGAGAAGCCAATGCTGGCTACGGCATCCAAATTGTCTCGGGCCGTCACACATTGTACAGTGATTTAATGCCAGAGGCTGGAGGTAATGATAAGGGACCGAGTCCTAAAGAATACGCATTGGTTGCTCTCAGCTCATGCACCTTGATGACGGTGCGAATGTATTCCGACTCCATGATCAAGAGCGGGAAATGGCCCGGGAAAAGTATCGAGAAATTGTCCGTTTCGTGCAGTGAGCACGGAGACGATCAGCATGTACCGCTCAATATCCAAGTGGAGCTTAAGTTGCGGTCAAACCTCGACGAGGAACAGATCAAACGCCTGGTGGCTGCAGCGGAAAAATGCCCGGTGAAGCGAATGATGAAAGGAGGCGTTAAGAACGGGATTACCACCGTTCTGGTGAAAGATTGATTAGCAACATTATATAAGTCGTCAGTCTGTTTCCGAATAGAAAGGTGATCAGAAAAGAAGGCAGTACGGCAGGTTGTGAGAAATATTCAGGTCACGATAAAGACACATTCGATAGTACGTACTTTTATCCAATTTTCGTCATAAGATATTCGATGGCAGAGACACCATTCTTCCTTATCTTCACTCTCTTCGTGTATTTAGTTGATATGATTTTATAAAGGGACATTATTCAGGGGCTGAAAGATAACAAGCCAATGTTGCCAATACACGGGGATGTGGACTACTACGCTTCAAAAGAAAAACTTGGCAAAAAACACAAAAAATCGACCCATAGATTTAACGGATATGGTCAGTGAAGCTGAATAGGACATTTTGATATTTTTACAGGAGGCCCTGTGGACTTTCGAAAATTTTCATCTAACTGTACTACGTTTTTCTGAAAGAAAGCCAAACAATGAGCTTGAATAAAAATGAACTTTGCGCAAAGAATAGCCAAGCGAATTGCAAGAATAGGAGGATAGTGATTTCTTTACAACAAAATAAAATGAAGCGGGCAAAATGGCATCGCTTTCCGAAACTTCCTTTGTTTTGTTTTTTTTTTTCCCTTTCGCCCGCCGCGAGCGAGCTCTCGCTTCCGTTGATGCAAGTCTGTGTCGCTTGACATGTTTATAAATAATTGGTCATCTTATTTTGGAATGGCTTGCCATTACTAGCACAAGCCATTGTTTTCGGACTCATTATTTCCTTCACGCTGCAGGGAAGGGGGTCTATTTCGTACCATTTCGGGCAGTGAAGGTGCGAACGGTGTGGATGGGAGCACTACGTTTTTGATTTAGGGCAGTTTTAGGGCACGCGTGGTCGGCATCTCACCTACCTCCTCCGTCGTGGCGTACTTCGTGCCGCACATTTGCAGCGACACGCAAGAATGGGTTTCGACTACGCTCGAAGTGCCATCATAAAGTCTCAGGTGGTGGCCATAGCCGTGGCCTTGGTACGTACGACTTGGAGGAAGCTGTCGGAGAGGTGCAACCTGGCCTTATTCGTTTATAAGACCTGCTCAAGCATTGTGCCTCGCGTATCCGGCATAGTTCATCTCTCTCGTCCCTCTATAGGTTGATGCCGCACAATCTTCCTTTCGATGTCTTTCAAACTTTTTCTCCTTTTTACCCATCCTATCTGGGTCGTCTAGGCGCTGGCGCTTGACTCCCCCGGCCTCCTGCTGCTTTATTTCTCTCAATCGGGGTTCTCCACTTCCACCGCCTACAAAAATGGAGTTGCAGACTATAGTTTCAAAAAAAGTGTCAGCGATATCTTGGGTTTGAATTTGCTAAAAGCTTGCGTGTTATGCGCCTTTTGGTCCTTTGCCCATGGGCGGCTCCTGGCTCTAATCCTCCCTGTCGTAGCGACAGGATTTTGCCTGATTAAAATGGCCGTCTATGATGAGTGGAACTCGCGCAATAAAACTGTACCAGCGGTGGTGATGGTTCTATCCTCGCTTTCCGCGATGGTGCAGCTTGTTGGCGTGTGGAAGACTCAGAGTACGACCAGGGATCCGGACGCAAGCTTAGCGGAGAGCCTAGAGGGGCGGGAATGGGTTGACAATAGGGAGGTAGCACGCGTGGAGGACAAAAAGAAAGGTACATCGCAGCACTCGGGCGCTGCAATGGGTAGCAGTGGTTTTGGAGGCCTGGCTGATGACGGTGGAAAGGCGGATGCCTACCGGCTGCTTATGGACGACCCGGACAACGAAGAGGAGGGCCATGTGCCCGGCGCCGGTGGTGACAGGGACGCGACGGACACAAAAAGTAGCATGGCGGCATCAGTACCCCCGAACATGCCGTCGGTTCGACGGCCCATGCTGTTCCTGCTCTATCACTACGCCCGCCCCGACCATGGCCTTCTCTTCGCCGGCCTCTCCTTTATTATCCTCAGCTCACTATTCAAGCTGGCCATCCCCAATTTCGCTTCATCGCTGCTGACCCTCATCATAGAAGGTGCCACAGCCACACCCCCGGTGCCCACTCTCCACACGGCGCAATTCCGGGAGGCCTTGTTTTATTTCCTAGTATCCGTCCTGGGCCTGGCATTTTTCACCTCTCTTCGTATATGGACGACCGCCAAGGCAGAGGTCCGATTGGTGGCGAGGCTGCAGAGGATCTTGTTCTTCGCGATCCTCCACCAAGATGTCGCCTTCCACGACGCGCAAGGAACGGGCGCGTTGACCTCGCGGTTGACCTCCGACTGTACGCTGCTCGGATCCATATTCACGACCAATTTCAATGTGGCCATCCAAGCAGCGATCAATTTGCTCGGCTCCACGGCTTTCTTGTTCGTTTTGGACGCGCGCCTGGCCGGGGCCTACTTGGCCCTGGTCTTGGCTTTCATGCTCTTGACCCGTGTGTTCGGCGCCTACGCCAAGAAAATGCAAAATCAAATTCAAACCCTTAAAGCAGAGGCCAACGCCGTGGCCGACCAATCAATCGCCCTGCTGCGGTTGGTTCGAGCCTTTGCCACTGAAGACTGGGAGAAAGGACGCTACGACACACGGACCTTGCGCAATGTCGCCAAAGAATTGGAGGTGAAGATGCTTTGGACACTCTATGTCCCGCTTGTCTTCCTCCTCCAGAATGGACTGGTCCTCGTGGTTCTTCTCTTGGGGGGCTACCTGGTTTCGGACGGCGGTTTGTCCGCCCGGTCCTTGACCGCCTTCTACTTCTACAGCACGACAATTACGGAGGCGATGCAGTCACTGGCAGACAACGTCTTGAGCATCCTCACAGGCCTCGGGGCCGGTGAGAAGATCATGGATATCATCGCCCACAAGCCCACCATCCCGGTCAAAGGAGGCACGGTGCCGTCTTTTGCGGCACGCGTAGCCCCTTTCTCCCCACCAATTGTCTCCTCCAGCATGTCCGTGCCCAAGGCCTTGCCTGCACCGAGATCGTTCGACCTGGTCTTCGATGACGTCTCCCTCACGTATTCCTCCGAAACGGATTCCCATCAGTCCCTTCATCGGGCGCCTGTCCTCTCCCACCTGAACCTGCGGATCCCCGAGGGACAACGCGTTGCGATCGTGGGCCTTTCGGGGTCGGGGAAATCGTCGCTCATCTCCTTGCTTTTGCGCTTTTACAAGCCGACCACCGGACGTATCTTGTTCGGAGGCCACGACGTCCAGAGCCTGGACCCGCGTTGGCTCAAGGCGCAGCTTGGCGTGGCTCTCCAAGATCCCATGCTTTTCGGCGGCATTTCAATCCGGGAGAACATCACGTATGGTCTGGAAGGTATTCAGGAGGAGGCAGTTAAGCAGGCAGCGCAAATGGCGGCAATTCACGATTTTATTCTCACCTTGCCCCATGCCTACGACACGGTGGTGGGTGAGAGGGGGGTAACTTTGTCAGGGGGAGAACGTCAGAGAGTCGGCATTGCCCGGGCCCTGCTGCGTCGACCAAAAATTATTATCATGGACGAGTGTACGAGTAGCTTGGATTCGCTTTCGGAGAGCAAATGTCAAGAAGCATTGATGGCTTTGCACCGTACGCAGCCGTCTATTACCCTACTGACCATCGCCCACCGCTTAAGCACCGTAGTAGACGCGGACCGCATCCTTGTGATGGCCAAAGGCAAAATTGTAGAGGAGGGAACCCACAAGGAGCTTCTGCTCAGGGAGGGCATGTACAAGGAGCTGGTGGTGCATCAGCTGCAGGAGGAGGTTATTCACAAGAAATTGTCCGTGTAAGACGGAATATGTCATAGGGTGCACTCCCACGGGCGTCGGCGGATGCCAGGGAATGGACGATGTGCTGTTGCTTCAAACTGCTTGAGGAATAGTGAAAGCCGACAGGTCTCGCGAGACCCTGTAGCCGTCTCGTCGACCGACTCAATACCAGGGAGGCGCAATTGTAAATTAGTTAGAAGGAAAGGGACACGCTGTGACGTGTGCTGTGTTTGCGTGGTCGACCTATTACTCGTTTGTTTTCTCGTGTTAACCAGCCTCCATCTGTCTGGTTATCTTTCGCAAGTTTTCCTCTTTTCTTCCCTCCATCCTTCGACAATTTTCTACACGAGCCTCTCGCGCTGTATTTTGTACTGTTGCCGATTTCTTGTCTAATCATCTCCCTTATTTCCTTCTCGCGTACTTTGTTCGAGCTCAGGGGGTACTTCTTTTTTTCGCTCCTCTCGAGCCCTCCCATCATCTCCCGCATCCTATTTTTACAGAGGCATTGTGATGCCATGCGGACTTTGCCTGCTTTCCGCCCATGGTGCTCGCTTTGTGTTTCTGCTCATCTCAGTCAACTTCTTCCTCTCATTTCTTCAGACCAGTGGTTCATTCGCAGGTTCCTCGTCTATCAAATTTCGATCTCCGTCTCTAATATCAAAGCAAAGCAATATTCAAACAAATAAAAAACGTTTCTCGGCCGTGCCTTCCACCTGAGCCAAATACATGTACGAGAGAGCGTCATATTTCCGTCCTGAAGTCGGGCGGACAATTTTGATATACTCAAACACGGGGGAAAGATTGGCCATCGCACTCTTTTCCTGCTCTGGCATGGTGTCATACCGTACACGAACAAGTGCGAGGGTGAGGCCAGAGCCCGCACACGAGAAGAAAAGACGGTTGTCAGGCACACTCACATCAACCATCAGTCACATCATTCCTGTTCTCTTTACGAGCATGCCATCTATCTCCACAGATTTCTGGAGGAGGATGAAGGGGCTGACGGGCGGAGGGCATTGGTCTGCTTACATTGTTTATCGGTACCGGTTGGATGGGTGGCCATGTCCGCGGCGCCCTGCATACCCTCACGTTTCGTACTGCTGGGGTCGGGATGGGCCGGAGAGGTCGAGACCCCTTTCATCTGCCAGGCGGCACTGGGGCGTCCGGGCCTTGGGGAGGAAGGCCGGTGGGAATGGAGTGACGCCCTATGGAAGGACAACAAAGTATCCATTGCCGCCGCAGCTGCAGGGACGGGAAAGTGATTACCAAAGGCAGTGTTCTGCGTGTCGATTCCACCCCTTAGTGCCGGTGATGGACCAGGGTGGGCACCGTTGGCTTGTTGCATATGGAATAGCGCCTGATGCTGGTGCTGCTCCTGGGAGCACTGCAGTCCTTCCTGTTGTCTTTGGTGCGGCAGCTCGACTCTGGAGTCCGAGCAGATTCCCTCGGTCGGATCGGCTCCCGAATCACCGGCTCCAGCGTTTCGGTTCAGAGGTGCGAGGCGAGTGGCGCCCGCCGGAGGATGGTACAAGGCCGGCGAGGAGGAAGAGGAAGACAGCATGGATTTAACGGGGTTGTCGGGACGCTCATCGCGGCGAAGGCTGGAAGGACAGGGTGCACCTTGCTTACAGTAATAAGAGTGGGGTTGTGGCTGCAGAAGGTTCTGCGGCTGCATCATTTGCGGTTGGTATTGCATGTGGTGGCCCTGGAAACGCATGGCGTGGTGGTTGCTCTCAGGAACATCGCACCCGGAATGTCGCCGTTTGCTCGCCCCCAGCGTCGGCCGTCCCGCCTGCCCTCTCCTACCCATGCTTATTAATCCGACCTGACTATACGGTGCGGGATTGCCGGCGTAGTGTCCGGCTTCCGGAGGGGTGGGGTTCAAGTTCGCAGCCAGGGAAGATACCGAGCCATTGCCATGTCTTACGCCCTCGTAGGGGGAGCACAGGCTGGGTTTGAGACCCCCCGGGGCAGCCATTCCGAGAGCTGCTGCCGCCGCCTGAGCGCTGGCCCCAACGGTTTGGTTCCCATTGGCACCGCCGTCGTACTGCGACGGGTTTGAATGCGTCGCGTGCTCCACGTCCATGGCATCTCCCCTTTCGCCCTCCGCTGCCTTACAGGGCCGTGAAGCCCCTCCCTCCGAGTTGCCCCCCTCCGGGACAGCCATAGGTGCCTTGCCAGCCATCATAATGGTTGACACGTCATGATTATGGCCGACGGCCCCCCACAAGCTCCGGCTGCTACCGGCAGCGCCCGTGCCTACCGTGCATGCCGCAGTTTGTGCCTCCAAATTCTGGTGTCCAGGCTGGTTCTCGATCCCTTATTTTGGAATGGC